GCTGTGACAGAGACAAACTACTGGTTATACATTTATTTAACCCTTTGCTCGCTTGCAACTTCCACAGCTAAATCTTTACCAAAACTGGCTAATTTGGGGTATATTTAAATGCAATTTAGTGTTTGACAAATGTTTGATTTCTTATATTTTGCATGTTTTTTTTTAAGATTCTTAAATTTAAAGGGACATTATAGTCACAGCAACTACAGCTTGTTGTATTTGTTCTGGTGAGTATTATCATTCCCTTGAGGCTTTTTGCAGTAAACACTGTCTTTTCAGATAAAATGCTGTGTTTACATTATAGCCTAGGGACACCTCCAGTGGCCACTAAATGTGCTTCCTGGGTCAGTGCTGTACACTGTGCAGCACGGACATTCAGTGTCTTCACCTGCTGCATGGAGACACTGAACTTTCCAAATAGAGATGCATTGATTCAATGCATATCTATTAGGAGATGCTGATTGGCCAGAGTGGCATTTGGCTCCACCCCCACCTTCATAGCGATCTCAGCCAATCCAATGCTTTCCAATTCTGATGACGTCTGCCAACGAGCCAGATCCATGGCAGAGCCAGCACCAGCAGACTGGAATAAAGGTATGATTTTACTATAGTTAGGGGGGGGGGCAAGAGAGTGGTTTTTAACACTCTAGGGTAAGGAATGTGTTCCTGACCATATAGTGTTCCTTTAACATGAACTAAACTGAATGATCTCTAGGTGGTACTGTCCCTAATATAAATAGAAACATCCAGAAACTTATACGCAGAATTATAGGAACTCCAGGGCACTTACACAACTAAATGTATTTGGTTGCATATTTTTGCACGCTCAATAAATGCAGCATTCTGCACATAATCCAGCGTCTCATTTGCCATGCCTACCCATTCTAACAGAAAATAAAAAAGGTCTCCCCCTGACAGCACCGCCTGAGCTAAACTGTTGGAAGTCAAGAAGCCAGCAACAGAAGAGGACAACTATACTTTCATAGTAAGGATACAACTACACGTTTTTCCATTTTAACAATGCATAGTGGGTTGACAGGTTATTGAGGAAATAATTATTTATTTTTTTGATAATAAAAACTAATGACTTGAATAGATATTTATCCTCTTTACACCAAAATAGGGAATGATTTATGGAAATTTCTGGCAAAAAAATTATAAATTAATGGACAAAAATGATTGAGTGTGAAAGCTGTCAAAAGAGCTCACAACCGGATATTGTCATGTAATGTTGTTCAGCTCTGTACAGATCATGTGGAAGTGAAACTTGGCAGCAGAAGCAATGGAACTGGGCTTTGGCATACTACTTAGGGAGATATGGGATCGGGATGAGGTGGGCCCTAGGGGGTGTCACATCTAATGCAAAGTTCATCACAGGTGAGGGCCATAATTGAACATTCCACCAACTGGAAGGAGCATGTCAGCCTCCCGGCTTGCCTCCTCACACCATGTGGACAGCACTGCCGAGGCACTCGCTGCATGATCCTAGTGCCCGCCTCCTGCGCTGCTTTGGTTTTACAACATGCGGTACACCAGGGAAAAAATAGGGACAGTTTGGAGCCAGGAGAGGCCTGGTTCTTCTCTAACTGCTTGAAAATAGAGGGACTGCAGCCAAAGCACCCTTGTGCCATTACCTCTACTATAAGCTATGGTGGTTGTGGTGCTTTAGAGAGGTTTTTAATTACGGATATGCAAAGAAAGAAAAATAGCACGTTATTCTCATCTTCCGTAACACCTTTCATCTCACTTCTTTCAGGGTTTCTATTGGTTGAAAGGCATTAAGAATTCACAGCATAGCAATTATTTTAATTTCATGAATTCCACCTTATGATAACCTTGATATCAGACTCCAGCTTAGGACACCATGTCTTTCCATAAATGACACCAATTACAGGCACAGATGTGGCATTCAGCCCATTGTAGAACTATATAAAAATACCATGTAAAAGGTTTTTTTTTTTCCCTCTTTTTTTTTCCCCTCTCTCTTTGGTGGTTAAAAAAAAAAAAACTAAACACTGTAAGGGGTTTGGATTGCAAAGAGAAAAACGTCCTTCAGCCCACAACCTCTGAAACAGATGGACCCCCGAGCCAAGCATCTGATCACGAGTCATAAAATGATTCGTATGTGGGTCCTTGTTTGGTCGGTTTTCACCTGGAGGACAAATTTCTCTCAAGGAATGCACGGATCAGCTTGTGAAAGATTTTAAAATGACTGCCACCAATCTGTCAATTTTACCCGACATTTCAAGTCCGTTATCGCTCTGGTTAGTGAATAGAACACAAGTAATTCTCTGAACAGAGAAAAGAAAATCTGCAGTAAAAGCACCTTTTTTTGGTTACATTATGTGAAAATGCCAAGAAATCCATCTCCCCAGAAAGCATTTGTAACCTGACCCGGCATTTGTCTATTTTATTTTTTACCAGTCATGTGTGACATTCTAGAAAGCCATGCATGTTTGACGAGGAAGGTGTGTGCTCATATGTACAATACCACTCCTTTATTGAGCATTCACAGAACACCTGTGTCATTTTTCCTCAGCACCTGTCTTCAAGTAACCCCACGAATGAGATATCTGCAATTTTGTGCCAGGATCTAGTTACACCACTGGCACACGTGGGAGATTGTAAAGGACTTGGCCAGGCACCAAGTTAAAGGGAAATTTTGATTATAAAGTGTTTTTATTTTTTTTTATTTAATAAAAGGCCTGCTCAATCATCCTGGTGTCAAGTACATTCACAACCAACCAAAATTTCCTTCATTAAATTGAGCAGATTCCACTGACATAGTCCAGAGGAATTGTACCTACAAATTGAAATCCATCCTCAACCTACTTAACCCTATATTACCCTCACATTAACCAAAACACTCCAAGCACCATAACTTATACAGATGTTTGTAGTGATTATGGTACCGTCGCATAGTAAGTAGCCTTAGTACAGGTTCACAACTTGTCTCAGTCCACCAAGTGCCAGTTTCATTTCTGGTCTTCTCCTGCAGGAGATGGCCAGATGTCAGTAGAACAATGGACAATCTAGGACAGTGCTCATTGGTTAGGCGCTTACATTGGCCAAGAAAATCCCTAAAGGAAAGGTTTATTCCACAAGGTACTTCTACAAACAAGGGAAAATAAACTAAAAACCATTTTTAAACTTTTATTTTCACCAGTTTATATAAATACTTTGGGGGAATAAATCTTTCCTTTTTGAATCTAGAGCACTTGTGTTTTTTGGGCATTTATTATGGTCTTTTCTCTTCAGGAGAATTTGGAGTTCCTTGCCTAGCATCCTGAGTCCTGGAGGGTTAAAGGAGCACAATAGGGCCAGGAACACAAACATGTATTCCTGACTCTATAGGGTTAAAGCCCACCATCTAGCCCCCCAGGGCCCCTCATGCCTCCCTAAAAATAGAAAAATCTTACTGTATTCAAGCCTGAAGCTGCTGGCTTTGTCACCATTTCCTTTGGACCTGCCCACTGCCATCATCAGAAGTGGTAGTCTGATCCAATCACAGTGCTTCCGCATAGGATTGGCTGAGACTGACAAGGCACAGATCAGGGGCAGAGCCAGCATGATTCAAACACAGCCCTGGCCAATCAGCATCTCCTCATAGAGATGAATTGAATCAACGAATCTGAGGAAAGTTCAGTGTCTGCATGCAGAGGGAGGAGACACTGAATGTTTGGATGCATTTTAGGCAGCCATGACCCAGGAAGGATCTCTAACAGCCATCTGAGGAGTGGCCAGTGAAGTTATCACTAGGCTGTAATGTAAACACTGCTTTTTCTCTGAAAAGACAATTTACAGCAAAAAAGCTTAAAGGTAATGATTCTACTCACAATAAATTCAATAAGATGTGGTTTTGGTGATTATAGTGTCCCTTTAAGTGGGGGGGGCTTTCCTTTTTCAGTTTTATCCTTCGATTGTTTTCATTTTCCATCCAAACTCACAGGATAATGATACAAGCTCCCTGGATGCCAAGTACTCCACCCTCACCCCCATTGGCCAAGAGCCTCCATTTCCATGCTTTACCGCTGGACGAGACCACCAGATGCTGCCGCCCTAGAGCCAGGTAAGTGGTAAAACTGTACTAAGATGCTGGACTACAGTGTTCTTCCTGCAAACCTTTATCCCTACAGTCGGTGAGTGCTCCTTTAACAGCATTATTTCCTTCAAACAAATCTAATTTTTCAAATATGATCCATTTTACTAAGTTGGGATACCATTCAGTGATTAGTGAATGCAGTAAACCACAAAGGGATTTTAACAGAAGTAAGGACAATTGAGCAGAAATTGGAAGAAAATAAAAATAAATTAAAGTTTGCAAAAGTTTGAAGTGTATTGAATAGGTTCAAGTTCAGCTTTTTGGCCTTAAATGCAACATTAACAGTTCACACTAGTTAATAACCAGATGTGTTTAGTAAATACCAAATGAATAATGGACTTCGCACCTCTGTTGCTAGGAGGAGATCTTTAATATATATTTTGGGAGAAAAGGTGAAAGCGCTAAGTTAATTGCAAGCTCAAAATGCCAGTTACAATCTGACAGTCTGAGACACAAGAGTCTTTGTTTTGAGATCATTTTACACATTCCAGAAATATTTAAGACGCACATCTATACACAGGTCAGATTAAAAAGAGAATGGGGTATTGTATGTAGGTCTAAGAAAACATCTTCATTGTCAAATCACATCTTTCAACAGGATTCAGGCTCAAAATTGACAGCACAATGACCAAATACAAATATCAGTTTTGCAGAGACATCCTAATGAAAAGCAAATTGTTAATCTCTTGACTAAAGCCTTTTCAAACCCTCCCCTTTTAATCCCACCCAGGCTTTCTGTCGCTGTCCAATCACAGACTTCCAATGCACCTCAATGAGAAGTCTTTGCAACTATCCCAATTTAAAAAAAATAAAATTAAAAATTAAAGTTTAGACATTTTAAATCTCTACATTTGGTAAAGCCAGAAAAAAAACAAAACAAAAACACGAGACTGAACAGTTTGGAGTATTAACTTTTTTTATTATTTGTATTTGGCTTTCCTGACCACCTGTGTTAATTAAAAATATATATTTTACACAATACATATTGCAATTACAGAGCTATAACATTAATACATTAAGCCTTTACTCTACATTCCTATACATTTCCAAAATATAATATATACAGCGAGTTCTCAATAACAGAATTATTTTAATAGAAGTATTTCCGTTACATAGCAACGAGCTCCTCACACCAGCAATTTGCTAGAAGATGAATCCTTCTCCAAGAAGGGATATAAATAGGGAGGAACATGGAGTAGATGGAATGTATAGTGGAATCTATGGACTCCCCTTACCTGCCCTCACTGTATTATGCCAGCTGAGATCTTAAAAAAAATCGTAAAAAAAAAAAAAAAAAAAAAGTTTTACCAAGGCTTCCATTAGGTTAGATGAAATGCCTTAACCTCTGAAAGACCAGTATGGTAAAATTCCAAACAAACCAGCCTATCTGATAAACAAAATAAAGACAGAAACATGGTTTCATAGCTGGTGCAATTTGTGAATTACAAGCGAATGGACGTGCTCATGTGGTCAGACGTCAACCAGTTGAGTTGTACTTAGCAGGGAGGGGGAGAGGAGTGGTATTTAAATTGCAGATCTTTACATCAGTGTTAAACAAAACAAAAATAAAAAATCCATGATCGGTCAATTTTAAAAATGCTTTGCAAAAGTGCTAGAGGACAATAGAAAGATCTTTCTAAAACAAGTCTATCATTGATATTGGAGATAAATTTATTTTAGAGGCCACATTTTGGAACTTTTAAATCTATTGTGTTTAACACTCATTGTGGGGCTTTGCATTGTGAACCCTGGTATGGCATCCCCCATTCCCAATTCTAGGGACCATTATAAGCAGTTTTAGAACAGGGTCTTCATTAGGGGAGGTTTTAAGAAAAAAAATAATTCCAGACACTGTTCTAGCAGAATATCCGCAAATATTTAGGTGACCGATACTATGTTAAAGGAATTCTATAGTGCCAGGAAAACAAAGCCGGTTTCCTGGCACTATAGGTCCCTACAGTGACCCCCTCCCGCGTTACCTGAATCCAGCGCCGATGTCCCTTGGCGCTGGGTCAGGCTCCACCCATTCTCCTCCCCCACCGTCAGCCACCGGCGGAGACCCAATGCACATGTGTGGCAATAACGACGCTCGCATTAGGATTTCCCCGTAGGAAGAAATTTAGACACTGGATGTCCTCGTGCAGAGCGCAAGGACGCCCAGCATTAGATACCAGACCAAAGGTACTTTTCAATTCAGGAAGCCCTCTAGTCTGGTAGACAGCCACTGAGGGCAGACATTGCAGCACTAAATGCAAGACAGACAGCATCCAGACCACTTCAATGAGCTGAAGTGGTCTGGGTGCCTACAGTGTCCATTTAAACCTGTCAGCATCCAAGATGGTCTCAGAAACAAATTAATCTGACTTCCCACAAGAACCACAACAGAGAGGATGGCCACATAATACAGAAGTTGTGGGAGGTCACTGTCTGCATTGGTTTAGGCTGCTTCCCCTACATAGGTGACAGACCTAGCCAATTGAACTATTCCATAGGGTCCCATCTGCCAGGCTTTAATAAAACTACACAAAAGCAAGACATCGGGGCGTTCCAGTAACTTTGGGGGAAATAAATCAAAGAAAATCGGAGGGATTCTTTAATTTACCCAATGAAGAATTCCTCCCATTTTCTTTGATTGAGACAGAGCTGTCCTTGTAAAAAGGTCAGCCCAGGAATTTCCATAGAGACACCATGTCTGCATGGAGTATACAAAAGCATTAATAGGTTCTGCTGCATGACGACAAAAAAAAACAAAAAAAAAAAAAACAAACACAAACAAACAAACAAACCACAAACACAAAACAAAACCACCCAACTAGTATATCCACTAGGAAGGTCACGCTTTGTATGTATCATTTAGGAAAGGTATTGTTTGGATCTTAACCTGTAGCAACTGTAGCAGAACATGATCCTTGTTGATAGCATGCCATGCTTCGTACAAACAGGTCTCGAATCTATACTTAGCTAGAACTGTAACTAGCTCAGTGTAACTGCAGACTCCTCATAGTTGGGTGGTGATTCGGTGTCATTTGATATGGTTTGCTCCCCCAAACGATGATCGAGCTCTTCCTCAGTACCTTCTTGCTCAGTAATGTCTTCAAGTTTTGGAACAGCTGCGGATGTTCCAACTTCACCACTGGGTTTGGCCATTTTTACAGCTTCTTCGTACGCTGGAGGTAATTCCATGGCATAAAGACTGTAAGCAGGAGGGGACATTGCGCTTCGATCTGTGTCACCAAATGCAAACATATGTGGATACTGCACAGAGCTGTATGCTGAGGGGAGAGGAAAACAAATATACAATTAAAAAATACATTAACGTGTGTTTAAAAAAAAAAAAAAAAAAAGTTAAGAGGAAGGTTTAATAGCAGCACATGATACAAGATTAGAGAGCATACAGTTGCGGTGCTGAAATCACAGGAAGCATGCTTAGGGGGAACTAGCACTTTTCTAGAAATTATATAATTGAACAAAACATTTAAAGAAAAACACGAACCTATAACTTGTGTTATTACCCCCTCCCCCCATGCGATTGTGATGCTCAGCCCGAGAAAGTTTCAGTTATCAGTTTCTCTAAAGCTTGGATAAATCCATTGGTAATGGAACACGCCAGGTTAATTGGGAGTTTATTTGAACACCTGTTTAAGTTTTTATACGTTATAAACATCATTGGAAGTGAACATTAAAAACATAATTATTGGCATTTACATAGCGCCAGCTCATTCCACAGTGCTTTACATTGAAAGGGGAATTTAACAAGTGAGACAATAACGAAATGTTAGAGGAACAATAGGTAGATGACGACACTGCATTCTAGTTTAACCGTTATCACAGGTACATCAGCTGGCAATACTACCAGTTTAAGAGCCTGTATGAGCTGCATTTCACTTTGACTCCAAATGCGGCCATGTCACTGGTGCATGATTAGCCAGAACAAGAGTTATGGGCTAGACAATGGCAATTCTGTGCATATTTTCATTAAATTTCATTAATTTGCTGAAAGCGATTAGCCAACCAATGAGTGGCATGTCGTCACATGGCTTCTGCAGAAGCTGGATGTGGTTAAAGGGACACTATAGGCACCCAAATCAATGTGGCTCATTGAAGTGGTCTGGATGCAGTGTACATGTCAGTTTAATCCTGCAATTGTAATTATTGCAGTTCTTGAGAAACTCAATAACTACATTGCAGGGTTAACTCCACCTCTAGTGGCTGCCTACCGTGTTTCTCCGAAAATAAGACCGGGTCTTATATTAATTTTAGTCCCAAAAAACACACTAGGGCTTATTTTCAGGGTAGGGCTTATTTATTTATGGTACCGGTATGTACATTGAACTCCCCCTTTAATTAATCCACCCCCCTTTAATAAATCCACCCCCTCTAATTAATCCACCCCCTTTAATTAATCCCACCCCAATAAATCCACCCCCAATAAATCCACCCCTCCTTTAATTAATCCACCCTCCTTTAATTAATCCACCCCCTTAATTAATCCACCCTCCTTAATTAATCCACCCCCTCCTTTAATTAATCCACCCCTCCTTTAATTAATCCACCCCTCCTTTAATTAATCCACCCCCCTCTAATTAATCCCCCCCCCTCTAATTAATCCACCCCCCTCTAATAAATCCACCCCTCCTTTAATAAATCCACCCCCTCTAATAAATCCACCCCCCGTTTAATTAATCCAACCCCCCTTTAATAAATCCACCCCCCTCTAATTAATCCAGCCCCTCCTTTAATTAATTCACCGCCTCCTTTAATTAATTCATCGCCCCCTTTAATTAATTCAGTCCCAGACATAAAATATCTACTCACATTTCAAAGATGCCTTCCTTGCCCGCCGAGTCCGACCACTGGGTGCCTCACCGCCCGGAAATGGATCCTTCCGCTGAAGATCCGTGAAGGCAGACTGACGACGCTGCGCACGTCGTCATCACGTTGCCGCGGCCTGCAACGCTCCTCCTCATAGAAGAAGGAAGTCCCGCCGGGCCGAAAGGTACAATGCCTAGGTCTTATTTTCGGGGTAGGGCTTATATTGCAGCCCACCCCGAAAATTCAGCTAGGGCTTATTTTCGGGGTAGGGTGTATTTTCGGGGAAACACGGTACCAGACATACACTAGAGGTGCTTTCGTGTCATTAGGCTGGCTGACACTGGACGTCACACTTTTCATGAGAACATCCAGTGTCGGCTAAAACCCGCATAGGAAAGCATTGATCCAATGCTTTCCTATGGGGTAGTCCTAAAGCATTTCAAGAGCCAGTTAGCCATCACTTATACAATATATATTTGTATTATAAACTTTTCAAGCACCATAGCTCCTAGAGCTCACTGCAGTAATTATGGTGCCAGGAGCACCCGGCTATATCCCATTTTAAAGGACCACTATAGTGCCAGGAAAACACTCGTTTTCCTGGCACTATAGTGCCCTGAGGGTGCCTCTACCCGGCTCTGGGGAGAGGAAAAACTTACTTTTTTTCCCCAGCGCCAGGCGGGGAGCTCTCCTCTCCTCCCTTTCGGCTGGCTGCACGTGCATTCAGCCGGTCTCATAGGAAAGCATTTACAATGCTTTCCTATGGACGCTTGCGTGTTCTAACTGATTTTCACAGTGAGAATCACGCAAGCGCCTCTAGCGGCTGTCAATGAGACCGCCGCTAGAGGATTTGGAGGCTGGATTAACCCATTTATAAACATAGCAGTTTCTCTAAAACTGATATAGATTTTATATATATAAAAAAGTTAATCCTAGAGGAACCTGGCACCCAGACCACTTCATTAAGCTGAAGTGGTCTGGGTGCCTAGAATGGTCCTTTAAGTAGCGAAATGGTTTTAGAACAATCTAACTTACCAAATGTCTGAGATGCAGTTTCCCACCCCCACTAACTCAGCAGAAGCTCCTGATTACGACGTAGCAGTGTATCATTGGCTAATCACTCTCTGCACTGCTGGGCTTAGTTCAGGCAGAGATTCTAATTGGGTTAATGGAGCAGGGACCAGCACCCAAAAAAACCCTAGCTAAGAAGTCAAACCATTCCAAAACGCTTTGTGATTGTGGTGCCTACGGCGTTGCTCTGATGGGTATATTTAGAGCAGTTACAAGTCCCCGGATTACTTACAGGTAACAGTGCTGTGGATTGTGCTCTCATTATCCATGGCAATAACAGTTACTTCATAAGGGTGAGTAGGAATTGCCTGGACAGGAGGCTTTTTCTTCAAGCAACAGAACTTTATGCAACTGGCAGTGGTTCCACACAGGAGAACAAGAAAGATTGTAACCAGAATCAGCCTGCAGAGAAAGAAAGGAGGACTTCAATGATTTGTGAGTTTATATAAACAGACAGAAAAAAAAAAAAAGTTCCCAGTGAGACTAGCCGGTCACAGACAGACTCTGTATGCAATGCTTTTTCATGTAAGCGCCGTTTGAAATAACAGAACAAATGCACTGGACCATTCTAATTCATGTTTGGCTGCATGACACTAGATGACAGAGCACAGATAACATCTGGCAGAGAAGGTTACAGTGTCGTTACTACTGTCCAAAATCAGCAACAACCCCGAACTAAAGGATTAGCCGTGTTGGTATTCGGAACCAGTAGGATTACAGAGGACAATTTACATACAGACACATACAGCTATAACAACATTTGTACAGAGAAGTTATATAATAATAATAATAATAATAATAATAATAATAATAATAAAAAAAAAAAACACAAACGTTAAACTATTGAGCAGATCCATGTCAAATCTATTTTAAACAGGTTTGTGGAATATGTACTAATAGAATTACTATTTGGGTGCAGTTATATGTAGGATTAAAAATGTTGCATGTCGACAAGACATGACTTCAACCAATTTCCAAGCATTACGATTTTTACGGTACACTTCAAGGAGCAGAGCAAGGTGTAGGTAAAAAAATAAATAAATAAAATAAAAACACTCCACACAGCTTTTGAATGTCAGTTGCAGGAAAAAAAAAAAAAAAATATATATATATAAAAATAGCTGATCTGTAGAAGTCGGATCAGTAAAAAAAGTTTCCAAGGTAAAATGTAATTTACAGCATGTCTGTAGAATTAAAAAAATAAATAAAGGGGAGTGGTTACACATGCACTTAAGGGATTTTAAAAAACACAAATCTATTGTGTTTTTTTAAAAAAAAAAATGGAAAATTTTATAAACTACATGCATCACATTACTGAAACTAAAAGCAAAAAAACACATGGTCTTTAAATATAGATCTATATACTATAGATCTCCTTACAGACCATGTCCACTTGAAGTAATTAAGAAATGTGTCTGCAAGTTTGGATTTTGAATTAATAGACATTAGAAGGGGATGATTTATCAAGGCAGTACAGGTGCTATTTTGGGTGCAAACAGATACATGTAAAGACATTATTAAATAAATGCCAATTAGAGGGAAAATAGATCCTTTTTAGATTTCGATGGATCTCCCTTGTACATCCAGAAGTGAAGTGAATGGGTTTCTGTTCATTCTTTTAGAAAACAGCCCAACCACTTTACGGACAAGTGTACGACGCCCAATAAAATGTAAAATTGCCATTAACCATTTTTCCTGGGAGTCCGTCAAACCGAAAAGAAGTTTGCCTTACAAGCTAGCACTTCTTATGAGCATTACAGCTGCAGCAAGACTAGTAAGTTTACTAAAATAAAAATATATAAATATTAAATTCTCACTCTGGTGAATAAACCTGTTAGTACATCCCTTGTAACATTGTATACAGTTGCAAATAAAGCCTCTGTAAACTGACTGAGATAATATATATACACCGTATATAAAAATAAAATTCTCTCAGTTTACAGAGGCTTTATTTGCAACTGTATACAATGTTACAAGGGATGTACTAACAGGTTTATTCACCAGAGTGAGAATTTAATGTGAACACAAAGCTATATTTCAAACCATAGCCGACTTTTCTATTTGACTAATTTTGCCTTAAATGTGAAATTCACTTTTAATTCTCACCTTATAGAATACATCAGTAAGATGTAAGACTGTAGCTGTCCGCAGCTCCAGCACAAATTTATGGTTTAACAAGGTATTTTTATATATGAAATGCCAATGACTGAGAAACAAGGATCACTTGTCATTTCCGCTTTGGTATAGCTTGTCCTTTAAATTTGTTCTCCTTACATTATGCATGCGCTAGCCTCGTGCTAGTGTACAGAGTTTGGCAACACTTTGCAATTTCTCGTCCAAGCCAGAGTGTCTGATTTCTCTTCTTGCAAGTTAAGTTCGGTCTACCCCACATGCTTTAGTTTTAAAGTTAAGACAGGGAGAGGGTTTCTGTATTTATACCATGCAGGCTGATGGTCTTAATGTTGATATGATTTATAAAAAAAAAAAAAAAAAAATTTATAAGAAAGTTTTAGGTCTAGGACCCCTCTCTCTCTCTCTCTCTCTCTTCTCTTGTTATTAATGATTATTATAACACTAAAAATATTCATATCAGATTTTTTTTAAAACCTGTTTCATGTATGTTACATTTTCTTATTTATGGACTTTGAGAATTGGTTTTGTGAAGAGACTTTTGTGGATTCAAACTTAAATGAAAATGGAACGCATATGCTTTCCACTGCAGAATAGAAAGAAGTCTGCCACCTTTGACTTTTGAAACCAGAAGGATTCTTGACATCAGGTGGACCAGCTCCATCCAGATTGGCTGTGAGGCAATTTGGGAGGCGCAGACCAGGGTTTTTAAACCCAGGATTTGGTAGAATTGTCAGACATGCTGAATTCCCTGAAGAAGTCTATAGATGAAACGCATAGGGTGAAAAGAGTTTTTTTTTCTGTGTTTTACTGATTGGGTCCTGGAGGTTGTATACAGAATTTCTTCTGAGAGTAAAGAAACTGTGATGGGCTTTTACTTTAATTATCTTGTGAGTGCATAAAATAAAGTGTTCTTTTTGGTGTTATATCATGTTGCACTATGTTTTGTTTCTTCTCTCCTAACAATCACAGAAGTTGAAAAGTAGAAGAGAAAGAAGTTCTACCAATAACTTCATATTCTGCCTGCTTTAACCCCTTAAGGACACGACATGTCAGGATTCCATTTTATTCCAGAAGTTTGGTCCTTAAGGGGTTAAAGGACCACTATAGTGCCAGGAAAAAACTCGTTTTCCTGGCACTACAGTGCCCTGAGGGTGCCCCTACCCTCAGGGTCCCACTGCCGCTGGGCTGAAGGGGGTTAAACACTCACCTTTCTCCAGCGCTGGGCTCCCTCGGCGCTGGGGACTCTCCTCCCTCTTCTGATGTCATCGGCTGAATGCGCATCCGCGTCAAGAGCCGCGCACATTCAGCCAGTCCATAGGAAAGCATTCGCAATGCTTTCCTATGGACGCTGGCGTCTTATCACAGTGATAAGCATGGAAGCGCCTCTAGTGGCGGTCAATGAGACAGCCACTAGACGCTGGATTAACCCATATGCAAACATAGCAGTTTCTCTGAGACTGCTATGTTTACAGCAGGCAGGGTTAACCCTAGATGGAGCTGGCACCCAGACCACTTAATTGAGCTGAAGTGGTCTGGGTGCCTATAGTGGTCCTTTACATTTATGCTGGTGAGTGCATTTGTACACTAGCTATTTGGTGTTTTTTGGTCTGCACCACTTGTGGTCCTTTTTGATTTTATAGGTTTATTTCTCTATATAAAATAAACAAACATTTGTTCAAGTAACCCTCCAAGGCTGTCTGGCCACCATCACAGGTCCATAGTTTTAGATTAGTGATGTAAAGTTTCTATTTATAAGCTAGACTGTAAGTTCACTTGAACAGGGTCCTCTTCAAAGTATCATTCCTGTAAGTTTTCTTGTAATTGTCCTATTTATAGTTAAATTCCCCCCTCTCATAATAATGTAAAACGCTACAGAATGTCGGCGCTATATTAATAAATAATAATCTAGTGGCCAGTTGACATACTTTTAAAAATTGGTTTAATAAATTGCTCCAGGGGCCACTATGAACAGGGATAACAAGTCTAACACTAGATGTAGCAGGCTAGTTTCTACAGATTGCATGCAGTCCCCAATGTGTTCAGTAAGATGGCTGGTAGTATCAAGGCAATCAGAGACCCTACCACTACAGTGCCAAGAGACTGTTCTAGTAGGGAGGGATGCTGCAGACAGGGGGCCATTAAAGGAAAAAGCAGTAAAAAATATTGTTACGTAACTCTCTCCCCCCTCTCCCCTTTGAAACTATGGCCAATCTTCAGATCAATATTTAACAGAGCAACGTAATCTTCCTGTAAACGGTTTACACATTCAGAACTTTGCACCAATTGCAACTTACAGATTACCTACAATTAGCCTATATGGGGAGTGGGTGGTGGAAATGCACAACAATCAAATCCTGACATTTAACAGGAAATTCATAATTAGGTAAAAGATAAGCAGAAAGGGCTTCCTAAAGAGGCTATAGGTAAGTGACAAAGTCTATGTATTTGTTACCAGTACAGAACATATGCCGATATAACAAATTACTTCCTCATTCATTTCAGAAACATTAACTTTTACACACCTGGATTAATAAATGTATATAGATTACTACCAACAGATGTGCAAATCTCTAAAGCACATGAAGGTTAAATGTAAGGACTAAGATGTTGCTTTTCAGGAGGAAAGCCTTACTGTAAGCCTTAGAAACGTTACAGAATATACAAGGATAGAGATACAGGTATGTCAAACACTTCCACTAGAGCGTTTGATAGTGGTTATGGTACTTAGACTGTTCCTTTAATGTGCATGGCAAGCATTCTTTCCATTTAGCTACTGGATTGCTGCCTATATAACAATTGACATCCCCCTCCTCCGGACCCCCATTTTGGCACTATTTGGAAAAAATAAATAAAAGTTATCCTAACTAATAAGTAAACCAGGTCACATCTGGTGTAAAAGGCCAGGTGGCTTTTCCTACTAATAGTTTTTAAAGCACAAGTGAAAGAAACCTTCCTGTAAACCTTCCTGTGAATGTAGTAGTTTGTCTCCCTTTTGGAGAACACCTCCAACTGAATTATATGCCAAAGTACATCAGGGAATATCAAAAATTGTTCGCAAGACTACAACATGAATCCTTGCAAAAAAAGAAAAAAAAAAAAAAAGGGGTGCAGAGACGCATTTGAATTGTAGGCTGTCAGATGACGCAGTCTGTCATGGATGGGCCTGAAAGCTGGAGTAATCCAAACATGTGGCAGATTGTGTTCATGTGATACACTGTTGGTGTCAAATGACAGGAGTTTATTTTTGGTTCAGCTTTTAATAGCAATTTGAAGGGGTTGCCAACAAGCAGATGGCAAAATAAAGGCAAAAAGCAATGAACAGAGGCTAAAAGAGGCTGTGCAAACAAACACTCATGCTTTTAACAAAATAAACTCCGCTTCCCAAATGCTTTCAGTTTGCAAGTGAAGAGATCAGCCCCTATTCTATCGCACTGTTGATGTTGAATAGGAAACCAATTTATTTAAGATTCTATTTATAAAAAAAAAATATAAAATAAAAAAAAAATATATATATATATAAATAAATAAAATGTACATACTTTAAAAGTGCAAATATATAGTCAACAGAGCTATACAACAGAGGTAGACCTGCCCATATCAGACAGATTTTACATAAAATGTTTTATAAATACTCAAACAGAGTAGGCGATCTTGGCTCAGTCAGCACATTACAAATATTGTTGGGCATTGTGACAAAATAAAATAAAATAGTAATGCTCTATAGCACAAGCCAGATTTAGCACAATATTACAGGCACAGAATGGGACTTACCAAACATACCACAAGTTGACCCAATTAGTTGATGGGGGGCAATTTCTGAAATAGATAAAAACATTAAAGTCAGCATTCCGTTACACTCTACAATGAAATGTGACGTGGAAGAAAATAATAAAATTATAACAAAAATACGTACTTCGAGTTTTTACAGTCATCGTCATCAGCCAGGGTTACAGAAATCTAAAATAAATAAAAAACAAAAACCCTTTATAAATTATGACACTGACACACACACACACACACACACACCCACCCCCACATCCACCACTGTAGGTGTGGGGTCTATGGCTTATCGATAAAGAAACAGGAAATTATTTGGCTGGATCTGTATTGATTTGGTTTCAAGCCATAAGTTCAACTCTTGAAAGCCAACCTGACCTCGTCACTAAATATAAACTGAGCAGCTGGGTAAGTTGATGCAGTTTGAAGGGCTACATAGCTCCCTCCAATTCAATAACCACAGAACTTTGAAATGTTGCAAGTACTGTATGCAAGAACCTTTTTGCCAAGGAAACCAAAGAACCCTCCCCCTGTTAATCACCCTTATGTAAAGGGAACCTATAGAGCCCAAAACAATCATTATTTCAGGGTTATTCACTAAAGTAAAAAATTCAAAGCGAATGTCAAGTTTTAGGCTAAAGTAGCCAATCCAGACACATACCTGATTTAGAGAATTTGTCCAATTCAGATATTTTGACCTGTAATTTTAAAGGACCACTGTAGTGCCAGGAAAACAAACTTGTTTTCCTGGTACTATATAGTCCTTAGGTCCCCCCACCACACTCAGGGCCCCCCTCCCGCTGGGCTGAAGGGGTTAAAACCCCTTCAGCCACTTGCCTTAATCCAGCACCGGGCTCCCTCGGCGCTGGTGACCTCTCCTCCCCCTCTGACGTCCGCTCAGTAGAGTCAAATGCGCTGCCAGAGCTGCGCGCACATTTAAACAACCCATAGGAAAGCATTACTATGGACATTCTGCGTGCTCAATGCAAATTTTGCATTCAGCATCACGAAAGCACCACTAGAGGCTGGATTAATTCTGAAACTGCTATGTTTACAGCTCCAGGGTTAAAACCTGGGGGACCTGGCACCCAGACCACTTCATTGAGCTGAAGTGGTCTGGGTGACTAAAGTGGTCTTTTAAATTCTCACTTTAGTGCATAACCCTGTATAGGGCTCCCTCAGTTCACTCCCCTCTAGTTTAATAAGGAGTGTTAGTCACCTGCTTTCCAGCCACTCCTTCAGTGACGTCAGCAGATCACCTCGAATGCGAAGGATTGGAGTTACGCATGCGCGGTCAAATGCTGCGCTCCTCCAATCAAATGCTGCCATTAGCTGCATTGGATTCCCAGAATGAATTTTATTCTAGTGGCAGTCAGGAAGGCAGCCACTAGAAGTGGATTTAACCCTGCAAAGTTTTACATTGCAGGGTTAAAACTGAATGACCACTGCACCCACATCACTACATTGAGATGAAGAGGTGTGGGCACCTAAAGGGTTCCTTTAATATTTTAGAATATAAAGTTGTACTAGCCAAACTGCAAGCAAATGCATAGCCATTTCTGTTTTAGTCTAGAACTCTGGTTAACCGCAGCAAATATGGTCATCTGATCGTCCGCAAATGCAGAAATTGGCACCCTAAAGTGTCTATTTTGAGATTTACAGAGCAGCATTGCTGAAGTCCATATCAGCATTTTTGGACTGCCGGACATATAACTACTGTACTGGTCATTACTGCTGGGCACCAGGGAAGTTCACAAGGCACCGATTAGGTTAACTCCAAAAAGGAAGCTTTTGGGTATTACATCTCAGTCGTAGGCTTGTGCAACACTTTACATTAGGGCAGTGGTAGACAACCTCCGACACTTCAGATGGTATGGACTACATCACCCCTAATTCTTTGCTAGCATTATGTCTGTAAGAGCATTTTGAGAGATTTAGTGCACAACATCAGGTCCAAAGAAGGTCTATCAATGCATTAGGGTGTGCATCAAGATAACATTACCATCTAACCTTTACCTAGAAGGGCAACTTGGTCCTGTGCTAGATCGTGGCTGGGCACACGCTTTGGCATGCCTACTTTAGCAACTTCAAGGTTTTCTAAACATGGAAAAGTCTGTATGGTTAAAGAATTGTATAACCAAAACCTTTTAGCTGAAACAGTCACTTAAAATCCCTTAGAAGTGGTACGGCTCAACACGTTAAGTTTAAGTTGGTTTTAATGCCCCAAGTTTTCTTCTTGTCTAAGGGTACCTGTGTTCCGCTTATCCCAAAGTTATTCTTCCAAGAAGAAGGAGCGTTGATGGCTTACTAGCCGTGAGAACAACATGCCAGTAAAGGAGATATAGAATTATGCATCTACAACTGTTGAGAAGATTTTGCCATGTGGCAATTTTATGGTAATCCATATAGGAATTTTAAATCTGGATTTCTAGAATATGATTGACAATTATTTTTTTGCACATGAGATATTAAATAGATAGACTGAGCAAATACAAAATATAATATGGGGTGGTGGGAAGGGAATTTTAGATCTACGATATTGGAGAATTTACGGTTTGGACGGGCACTCCTGTATTAGCATTACAAGGATCAGGTAAGTAATGTTGGTTCCAACAGCTATCAACACGGTTTAATTACTTAAAACAGAACACCAATACACGTCATTACACACCATTAGCCGTAATGATGTGTACGCTTGTACAACACAACGAACGTGATCTTGACACAGGGGAGGAACAAAGAAACAGGGGAATTAACAGAGGCCATGAATGTGCAGAATGGCCTGCTCTTAGGATGTATGGGGCGTGGGTTGCATTAACCAACAGGATACAATTAATTTATGGTTTCTTAACCTTTTCTAGCAGGGGCCCCGATGATCTACAAAAGCAGCCGCTCTGTGACCTACATGCCATTTGTAGAATTAGCTCAATGACCCCAATCTTCAACTGAAATAGGGAAGAAATCTGCAAAACACCTTCATTAGTCACTTCCCAGTGCAGGGGTCTCCATTGCAGTGGGGGAAGCAAGAGCTGCAATAGGAAGCTGCCGGTGGCCTAAAGAATAGGGGGATGCCTGTTCCACCACATGGGGACTATTAAAAATAGGATGGGGAACAGAATTTGGGGACCTTTGACCCTGGGGTTAGGCAGCACAACAGCAATCAAACACCGATTTACTTAATGCACTACACCCATCTGCTGCTGCAGAACCTCTTCAACCCAATTATGGTAAGGACTTCCATAAACCCCAATAAATGGATTTGTCAAAAAAGAAGCTTCTATTAAACAGCCAGGTACATACAGCTTGCTGCATTGACTATAGAAGGTATAATGACATGATCACACCCCAAAGCAATGTGACAGCCAAACTCCTGATCAATCACTATCAGCAGATGTCGTCCTCCCCCCTCCCCCCCCCCCATTGGATAGCCAGCAGTGGGTAACAGCTGTTCGAGGTTCTGATAGAACACGTGGAATCTTGGAACGCGGAGATCAGAACGGTAACATTGCAACAGGTTCAGCCTACGTGGGACATGGAGGGGTTTCACGTGGCCACATTCCAGGCAGAGAACAAAAGGATGAAACAGCAGGATCTTACCAGGAGCTGCAGGCAGCCCAGGAGCAGGAGCCTTCCACAGGAGTGATCTACCATCATGGCTCCTTGTTTCCTCTCCAAGCAGCCCTTGTCTCCAGATAGACCCAGCAGCACACAATCCTCGAGCGAGAGAGCAACGCTGCAGCACAGCCAACCACACACAAAGGAGCCCCACAAATTACAAGTATGCAGAGCCTGCTGACATCACAAGGGTTTATAGCTGCTCTGCACGCCCATCCAGGGAGCCAGGCTGCCTGCTCCGCCCTGTCTGCATGCCTCTCCCCATCCCCTCCCTCTCCTCTATACTACATGGCAGGGAGAGGAAGGGAGGGGAGAGGGGCTGGCAGGTCTTGTGATGGTTAATCACAGAATATTATGTCACAGCCACATTCACAGTGGTGACGTGACTCAGGTTATCAGAGTACAGACAGAAGCACTGCTAGATTTAAAAGAAAACCCCCATCAAACCCTGCTGGTGGAACACAAACAGGATTATTCATTAAAGGGGTTCTCCAGACCCCTATGTCACTTTAGCTTGCTGAAAAGCTTTATGTGTAAAAAGTGTGATCTCTTTTTTTTTTTTTTTCATTTTACAAAAGCTGGAGATTTCAATAGAAATTGGCACTTTTATAAATTACCTTGGTTACACCCCTCAGGTTGTCAATCAGACAGCCAATCCTGTTACTTCCTGGTTTGGTGAGCTTATTGGAGCTAAACTCAAGATTCAACTCTGTGATTGGACAGCTGTACAAGGTCTGGGCAGGGTTAGAAGGGGAGGGTTTGCAACAGCTTCTAATAAGAGAACTGTGACTTTTGCAAGCTATTTTTCGATATACTCCTAATAAAAAAAAAATGCATAATTTAACTAAATGCATGTTTATTACCCCAATTAAAAAAATATATAATTAAATGTTTTTTTATTTGGGGTATATCTACTAGTCTGATATTTATTTTGCATTTGGGCAGTGGAGTTCCCTTTCAAAGTGGGAATATTCAGGAATTTATAATACATTTCAGATTCTAAGCCAGTTATTTGTTTGGTTTGAATACTCACTTTGAGTTCTCTACATTTATCACTTTAGAGGTTAAATCACTAAATACCAAAATGTAGTAAACTGAAGACCTAATTGCAAAATTTATGTAAAAAGTGATGATTTGGAATAAAATTGCCAGATCAACAACAAACCCAGAATGGCTATTTTAGTTTGTAGTTAAATTTAGTTTTTCGACCCCAGAAACACAAATATGCTACCAGGGTATTAAAGTGAAAACTGTTGGGAATTCCAGGCACCAAAACAACTTTGAGGCCCACGGCACACTCTTACCTCAAGGGGTTCAACCATTCTCAAACGGTTTAAATTCAAAGATGGCTCCAGTGGCGATCTTCACTCTCTCCAGACGCCATCTGGCTTCTGATTTCAGTTTCAGGAAGTGCGGAGTGCTGCCAGGCAGGGGTTCTGCTGATTGGCTGAGACTGGTCACCTGATGCTCTAAGCCAATCAGTGACACCTCATTCGTAAGACTGGCTTGGAAAGAAATGTACCTTTTCTAAGCCAGTTTTGTGAATGGGGTGTTACTGATTGGATTAGAGCATCAGGTGACCACTCTCAGCCAGTTATCAGCACCCCTGCTTGGCGGCACTCTGTGCTTCCTAATATATATAAGTAGCGGATGCAGCCTGGGGGGGAGTGGAGTTTGTCTATTCAAGAACAGTTTAACCCCTTGAGTTAATAGTGTGCTCGGGGGCCTTTTGGCACAATAACAACTTAATTTAGATTAAGTTGTTTTGGTGTCTGTTGTGTTCCTTTAAGGGCAAAATAGCTGTATTGGAAGAATTTTTCTAGTGAGCTGTGCTTCCAGGTTGGTTATTTTCAGAGCTGGCTCATACATAGATCCTGATGGAGCCATTTTGTCCCCATGCTGTGTCTCTGTCACACTCCTCCCACAGGCGTCACTAAAAGCAGACAAGTGCCCCCCTAGGTTATTCCTTACCACCCAGATGCACCCCACCAATATTAATCTGCGGCCAGTGCTTCAGTTCGGAAGAGGTGGCACTCTCTGCAGCTTCACTGCATGTCTGGAGGGCACCCATGCGAGCACATGCCAGAGAGGTTGGTTTAAGAGGCGAGCTGCCAGGCTGAAGCGAAAGCAGTAATTACACTGCTGCCCACCTACCACCCTTACAGCATCCAGACACGTTATGGACAGCCAGGCATGGCTTCTTACAAGCAGGATAGAGTAAGGACGCAGCATCCAAGAGGTGCTGCCTGTTGCCCTGTGCCCAGAAGAGGTCACCATGCTGTTTATTATAGACTGCTTGATGTGCCCTCACCTGAGTATGTAAGGGAGGAGGGAGGACTGCTTACTATGTGTGTGTGTGTGTTTGTGTATGTAGGTATGTATGTATTAGGCAGTGTGCGTCTATGTATTAGGCACATTCCTTGGAACTGTGCCATGGAGCTCAGTCTGAAGGTGGTGGTGTGTGACAAACTCTAAGCAATCAACAGCGAGTGGGAAAATCCATCATTTATCACCTAAGTGTTATCTACAACCAACCATAGACAGAGAGGTTACCATATCAATGCTAAGACGTTTGGCGAAATATACACTTAGCATATAAATAGTTTGTTCCAATATTAATCAGTCATCCTCTCATATACACCTAGCTATTTAATGCTCGTCACTCTCCTTGACCATTTTTCTACCTTGGATCGCCACCTGATTACAAAATCCCTGATTCACTACACACTATTTGGCCTATTAAATAGATTTGTATTTTATGCAGTTGACTAACATTGTTGGCTTGCATAATTTTGTGCATTTATTCTATTTTGCTTTCGGTGTTTTCCTGTACAATTGAGTTGGATAAATCAATACTTATTTACATTGTTGAACCAGCATTACCTACTCAATGTCACATAATATAATCCATACTCTAAATGGTCTCCAGGAAAACATTGACATTTTTATTTTAAATAAATCCCATATTTTTTTTCACCTATCTCATTACCTTGTGAGCTCTAGGTTGATATTCCTTTGCATTGTTAACATGGTGAAAAGTGTGTGCAGGGGTTGTTTATCAAGAGTTAAATTAACGCCTTGTTTGCAGATTGAATAATCAATTCTGTCAGACTGGAAAATATAAAACCAGTTTGGAAAGTCCCAAACAGTGCACCTACTTTTCCTAAAGTTATTATTATATCTTAGCTCCAGATCTTATTCTCTTTTGTGCTGATCTGTTTTATTTTTGTTTTTTTACATTTTTGTCCCGACTACCTATTGCAAAGTCGGTTGAAGTGTGCTAGAAACTGACGGTTAGGTTAGGCCTGTATATAAAGAGGGCCTACCTGGGGAATAAGATAATAGTTAAAGGGTGAGGAGGGTGAGGGAAGTACAAAGCACGGGGCAATTTTCAAGGCCTGTTTAACCTCTCCCAAGGCACACTTAACCCTATCAGTTTTCAAGGTCTGTTTAATATAAATGATAAGGCCTATGGCCTTAACATTTATATTAAAGTTTTAAAACATTACATCACAATTCAGTTCAGTTGAGGCACAGCCAGGAACACTTTATAAATGAGGAGGAGAACTAGAAACATTGTTCCATTTTTCTGCTGCTTCTGTATGTTTTATCTATGCCGACTGCCAGGTGCAAAGGACAGAGTTTGTAATAATGATTGGCAGGGAGCTAAGGCGGAGCTACAAGATACAGAATCATGGATTCTACGTTAATGGGGTTATTAACTAAACACCGGATTTGACCGGATGAATAAAATCAGATAAAAATTACCAAATTCCGACCGCAATGTCAACTCTCATATTTTCTAATGTCCAATACGGTTGGAATTCGGTCAGCCTTAGTAAATCTGCAGCAAATTCCCCAGATACATTCTGTGACCGGATTAAAATTGATACTTTCACATTCACAAGATTTACAAAGCACTAGTAAAAAAAAACAAAAAAGGAACCTAATTTGCATATTCATAAATTATCATTCACTTGCCTTTTTGCAAGTGAATGACAATTTCAAGTATAGTTAAAGGATCACTATAGTGTCAGGAAAACAAAGCAGTTTTCCTGACACTACAGTGCCCCGAGGGTGCCCTCACCCTCAGGGTGCCTCCACCCTCAGGGTCCCACTCCTGTGGCGCTGAAGGGGTTAAAACCCCTTCAGCAGTTTACCTTAATCCAGAGCCGGGCCCTCTCGGTGCGGGTGACCTCTCTTCCCCCTGCCGACGTAAGCTCCCCCGTCCGACGTCAGCGAAGCCGAATGCACATGCGTAGCAAGTGCCGCGCACGCATTCAAAGTGTCCATAGGAAAGCATTTCTCAATGCTTTCCTATGGACGCTCTGCGCGATGGAGGCGAAATGTCCGGAAGACAGCCACTAGAGGCTGGATTAACCCCAAATGTAAACATAGCAGTTTCTCTGAAGGATTAAAATCTGAAGGGTTGCATCTGAAGTGTTAAAACCTGAGGGACCTGGCACCCAGACCACTTAATTGAGTTGAAGTGGTCTGGGTGACTATAGTGTCCCTTTAACCCCTTAAGGACACATGACATGTGTGACATGTTATGATTACCTTTTATTCCAGAAGTTTGGTCCTTAAGGGGTTAAAAACCCTTGGTTGCTCAAAAATTAATTGTGGTGCAAAAAAAAAAAGAAATGATTAAATAAATATGGCTGCCCAGTCGCTAGTGTGAAACTGAAGCATGGTAGATGGGGACATAGGAAGGTTTTAAACCTCTGTTATAGTAGTATGAGTGTATAGCAGTATAGCTATTTTTGTAATTATTTTTTTTCTATTTAATGTGGCAGCTGGCTAGCAAGCGCTGGCCAACCTCCACATAAACACAATTAACCCTCGTGCCTCCAAAGGCTTTTTACCTGTTTTTAACTGTTTGACCACTGATAGTGCTGCCAATGGGTAAATATTTTGGATTTTTAAAATCCAGGCCCAAGGTTTGAAGCATTCACCCATTCCGCGTTGTTTGGCCTGGCTGAAATCCAGACATCATCAGGCCATTTTTGGGCCTGAATTGGCAAAATCTGGACATTGTTGACTAGTGTGATCAATGTCTGGATTTTGCAGTCCGATAAGTAAACATAATATTAAAATGACAGTTCACCTTTTAAAAAGCAGCATCTTATATTCCATAAAATGTAGTTTGATTAGTTAAGGTAAAGCACGTACATACCGTGCAGGTGCCATGGCAATATCTCTGTATGCTATGAATGACCTTGATGTGCTCAGAGGTTAAAGCGTCATAATAATTGTTCTCAGCTCTTAAGGTTAAATATATTTTATGCTTGCTGTTATGGTGTTGTTATGGTGCTTAGAGCACTCTGGTCCTGGTCTCCCTGCGTAAAATTAGACTGAAATAAATGCTGTGATTAGCAAAATATTGTTTTAACGCTGGCATGTTTATTCATTAAGTGGGAATTTAATTTCAATTTTAAGGCCAAAATAGCCAAACTGGATAAACTCTCTAAGCCAGGTATACTTCTAGTTTGTCTACTTTGGCCTTAACATTTAAATTCACTGTGACTTCACTTCAAATTCTCACTGTGATGAGAAAGGAATAGATTTAATTTTAAGATCCAGGCCCATGAAGCCTTTAAAAAAAAAACTGCCTATAAATGGTCCTTTCTGATCTCCCTTCAGCATACAGTCTAAGAAGAATTGATTGACAGGTAGGAGAGAGAACTCTTTTTAAATCGTTTTTTTCTCCCAATCCATGCATTTTCTAGCACAAGGTATGTATAGAATTTCATGTTCTTTTAAAAGACGGTGATAAACCACACAAAACAATAATGTGAGTGAAGTGCTCAAATGTGATACATCACTTACTCCTGTTTTTCACATGGTACCCTTTGATAAATGTAAACCATAAACACATGGAATGTAGCGTGATACTGTTTAAAAGTAACTCAGATAATAATATTGTGCACTTGTTCTGGTGACTTATTTACATTCACACTTGATGGAGCCTTTAAAAAAAAAAAATAGCTCTAAAATATAGGCATCTGTGCCTTTAAGGCGGCATTCATATTTTCACTTTATTTGTCAGAACCAAGTAGAAGATAAAGTAAAACCACATTGGTACAATATTTTGTTATTTTTCTTTTAGACATTCTTTATTTTGGATTTTTTCTCATTATACGAGCAGGATAAGATGTGAAAGTACAGCATAAGTACAGAATGTAACAAACAAATTTAGACCAACATTTTTGTTATATTCTTATATAATACATTGCAACACATAGTATCTTAGGAAACACAACAGCTTTAATCATAAGGATGACCTCATGGGTCGTGGGAAATCTGTGTGGGAAACACCTGTAGGAGAGCAAGCTGTCTGGCTTTGGGATTGGGAGGCATTGGCCCTACAGGACCTAAACTTAATATTCGTCATTTTGCACACTGGTGCAATATTAAATACCCTGGTATATACCTTACTTGCACAAAAAAACTTGCTTACCTTATTTCGAACCTATATTTAATCTCTGTATTTCATTAATATAGTGTCGAACAGGGTGACACCTCCCTTCTTTGCACGTAATCCAACTCAGGTTGCAGAACAATGGAAACCACCAAACATTTTTTAAAATTTTTATTATTCTTTATTTTTGAGTGCATGAGATAACAAAGCAGCTTACTCTGCCACAATAGCTTTTGTAAGCGTGGTCATAATACAGCAATTCATAACTGTGGCATTTAAGTAGAGCACATTTTTTGGTATAAAGATGCATAGTCAAAGCATAAACGTCTAATGGTAACATATCACAGTCAAACTTGGAACACACTGACAGAGTCTGAAATGGTGAATAGGTTTATAGTGCGATAGCGCCCTCGTTAAGGGCAGGGTGTAAACTCGCTGGTCGAATGATGTCGGGTAGAGATTTATTATGTTTGCGCTTGCACTAGGTACATTAGTCCTGGCTAGACAGTTCAGGGGGTAGGTGTGTCGTGTGTCTGGTGGCCTACAAGGAGCCATGTAGTGCAGCGATGTGGTTGCAGGCAAACTGGCATAGTGTTCGGGCTAGGCTAGGTGGTTTACACGTGGTAGGGGACATTTGTTACGCTGTGCAAGGCTAGTAGGTGGGGGCAGCCCCTGGGGTCATGTTCCCATGTTTATGTCTATAGTGCCCGTGTAAGGGCTAGATTTCCCGCTAGGTCATATGTGAGGTCATTGGTTGAGACTTGAGAACATAAAGTAAAACTATGAAAACATTGGGATATTTAGTCAAGAGATTAAGCATTGCAATGGTGGGATAAGGGTGGCCCCCACCAGAGAATCCAGCGTCAGCCCATTCCCCATTGCGTGCGTCGCCTGCTCCGAACCATACCTTGTCGAGCTTTCCGCTCCCTCTGGGGGTTTGGCGGTCTCCGTAGCCGGCTGGGCATGTCCACGGCCATAGAGCTTTTTGGTCTCTCCGGCATGACATGTGCGGTAGTGATGGTAGGCCCTATCTCATGGACTGCGCTGGTTTGGTACTTTAATCTGTGCTGCTTCCCTAGTCCTTGTTGGCCCCTGGGAGGTGAGGATCTCTTCTGTGCCTGCCTGTTTCGAACTGCATTGCGTTGTAGTTTACGCCAGAATCCGCGGAACAGATCATTCAGGCGCTGCTCCAGTGATTTGTGCCGCCTGTTTGTCTCGACCTCATGGTCAGCCGCCGCCATCTTGATTCTGTGGCTGGACTGTGTGTGTAGCGTGGGCCGACCAGTAGTATGAGTCAGGTGAGTGGGGCTGCGATATGTGGACCGGGATGACCCCAGCTGGTCTCGGGGGGATGGGAGGGGAATGTTTTGCCGAGGTCTCTGTACCTAATTATGTGTATAGAGAGCGGCCGTCTCTCCGTGACACTGTCTCGTTTAGGCCGCAAGCCTCGTTTTGTCAGGTCGGCTTTGTCGGGGCTCGTGAGTGGCACCATCCGATGCGGTAGCCTGCCCTGATTGCGGGTATCCTGGTCTGCGGTCTGTGGGTGTCGGTGTTCAGGCAGAGAACCCAGTTTTTTGGCTCCAGACATGGGAGCTCTTGCTGAGCACGTCTGGGCTGCTTGCCTGCTTAGCTCCGCCCCCCCCACCAAACTTTTTATTAAAAAATTAAATGAATTGGCCTAAATAAAACAAATTAAAAACAGAGATTATACTCAATATATTATTAAGTCTGCAAGTTCCTCTCTCCGAGACGCGTTTGCCTGTTAAGGCTTTCTCAATAGGCAAATAGGTTTTCCTCCCAACTTATATATTTGCTAGCAAAACTACTTACACAATGTATAGATAGAATTGTATGCTCTTTTAAAAGTTGATAAGTCAATGAGGTCTCAACAAGTACCCTTTAAAGAAGGAATTGTGGAGAACTGACTAGGAAATACAAATTGATGGATTTGAGGATTTCTCCAACTACGCTCTTTTTCTCGCTTGAATATTTTGCCTAAAATCCCAATCCCCCAGTCAATTCATAACAATTTCCAGGTTAGTAAATACCTCCATCTTTATTATACCTGTGCGGTAGACGTATAAAAAAATAATAGTTTACCACACTTTTGCAAATGAGCGATTAACAAAATATAGGGAAGAGAAAAATTACAGATATTTACTAACAGCACGTGGGAATAGTCTAAAACACACTGTGCTTTGCATGTCTCTGATGAGCAATGTGTTCTGGAATTCTTAACTCTCATTCTGTAGAGAAATGGAATGATGCCAAACTGCTGACCTAATTCGATATCATAGTTCTATACATTACGGTGATTTATGAAGCACGTAGACTTATTTATTGGCAAGCAAATCCATTACCAGTCCTTTTATTAAAGGAACAAGTTAGTGTAAGGAACACAAAGCTGTATTCCTAACACTGTGTTCCTCGGGTTCTGCAGCCTCCCTCCCCGCGCTGTAAAGGGTTAAATAATCAATATTGTGGTGGGGTGGAGCTTACCTGCGGCAGGGCGGAGCTTCCCTGCGGCAGAGGCGGAGCTAAACTTACGACGGGGTGGAGCTAAAAGTGCCAGATAACTGCTGCAACAACTAGACCCCAGGAGCTGCACTGCCTCCACTCCTCCATAATGAACAGAGGTAACTATGTCTGCCTGTGTGTGTGTGTGTGTGTGTGTGGCTGTCTGTGTGTGTGGCTGTCTGTGTGTGTGTGACTGGCTGCCAGTGTGTGTGTGTGCGTGACTGTCTGTCGGTGTGTGTGTTTGTGTGTGTGTGACTGCCTGTGTGTGGCTGTCTGTGTGTGACTGCCTGTCTGTGTGTGGCTGTCTGCCTGTGTGTGTGTGGCTGTCTGCCTGTGTGTGTGTGTGTGTGTGTGGCTGTCTGCATGTGTGTGTAAGACTGAATGTGTGGCTGTATGTATGTTACTGTCTGTCTGTACCTGTGTGACTGTCTGCCTGTAATTGTGTGTGAGTGTGTTTATCTGCCTGTAACTATGTATGTGTGTGACTGCCTGTATCTGTGTGTTTGTGCCTGATCCTGTGTATGTGACTGCCTGCGACTGTGTGCATGTGGTGGATTTGACATTGTATATGTTTAACTGTGTGCATCTGAGTGTGGGACTATGTGCACATAACTCTGCAAAAATCTACACCTGCATTCACACATAGGCCTAAATGCATATTTTTATCTGAATTAAACACAAAGCCAATAAACCCAGCAAAAATATCACCTACGACCAATACACGCATATCACACACAGTTAATCCACCCATTACAAATATCACACACAGCCAACACATAGCATACATATCACACACAGTTATCACACCTATCACATACACAGACAACACAAACATTACATCATATTATTGTGAGATTTATTACAGTGCAGCTCTGGTATATAAAATGCAAATTACTCTGTTTTATAGTTAGGGAGCTCGGTGACACACTAATAGACACATTACTTAGAGTTGTATTGTGGTATAGTGTATGATCTTGTCTCCACATTACTGGGAGTTCTATTGTTGTGGAGCTCTGTGATAAATGGAGAAGTAGCGAATTACTATGAAATTTATTTCCAAAGAGGTCAAGATAAATAATCCAGGGCTCCAAAGCAAAACCACTCACAGTATTATGTGACATACTTAGTCTGCTCCTCTGTGATGTAGGGGAGGCAGTCTGGAACTTCTGGCCTGCACTTTTGTTGGCTGCAGACCATAAGTAGCTGTCTTCCTAGCTCGGGATAATCAGAGCGCTGCCGCAGAATACCAGATAACACTGCAAGTCCTTGAGCTTGCGAGACAATTACGCATGGTCCGTACCCAGTGGAGAGGCAGACCAGATTCAGATCAGCATGCCCCTCTCCCAACTAGGTAACAACAGTAGAGGAGGAATGAATATTTGTTTTTAAATCATTATTAATTTAATCCCCTATACAATCACTACACGCCTATACACACACACACTATACATGGATGACAAAAGGGGGCGCTGTGAAGATTTTCAGGGCGCCTAAAGGCCTAAGTCTGGTCAGGGCCGTCTTAAATACTGATTGGACCCTGGGCACACCCCTTCCTAGCATGCGATCATGCCATCAACGCCCACACACAAAAAAAAAAAAAACACACACTTGGCCCTCTCATTTCTTACAGAGACAAAATATACACACTAACACACATACAGATGCAAACACTGACATACATAGAGATGCACACATACACAGGTACAGACATACATAGAGAGATACACAGACACAGAAGTGCATACACAGACACACATGCAGATACACAGATACACACTAACGCACCTACATACACTGATGCACAAATACACTCACTGACAAACATGCAGATAAACAGAAACACTAACACACAATAACATACAGATGCATACACGGACCCACATGCAGATACACTGACACAGATACAGATACACAGACACACATGCAGCTACACATACACACAGGATGATACACATTCAAATACACAGAATGACACTCACACAGATACAAACACAGACACACACTGACACACATGCAGATACAAAGACATGCAGACACATACAAACATATACACATATAGACATATACAAACAGACACAGAGACACACAGATACACATATATACAAAGACACACAGAAACACATACTAATACAGAGGGTCACAGAGACACATGCAGATACAGAATCACACACACACATACAAACATATACACATACAAACAGATACACACATACATACAAACAGATACACACATGCATACATACAGACACTTACATACACATACATACAGACACATACATATATACATGCACATTTTTTTATGTGTTTCCTACCTTTGGAGTGCAGGAGGCTAGCTCAGGCTGATGGGAGTCCGAGCTCCCACTCTGGCTCCCTCTTTTTCTTCTCCTCCTTCTGCGCGGCGCTCAGTGAATGCTGGGAGGGAGTTACCGGCTGTCACTTCCTCCCAGCATCCTGACATCATCACAGGGGGCCCGGTCACGCTCTCTTTTTTTAAAAGTATAAATATTTTTATCTGAAGACAAATGGTTACTCTAGAATCTCGGTCCTGTTAGGGCCTCCTTTTATCATTCCAGGTCTGTCATACATAGAGGTAACTTAGATCCCACTTATTCACAGAAATTAGGTACTGCGATAAATATTGGAAAATGCTATTATATAACAGACCCTCAGTCAGGGGTGAACTATGAGTAAATAACTGCTTTACCCTAACTTTTATTGCAATGTATGAAATGAAACTTTTTAAAACAAAATAAGATTATTTCTCTGTTATATTTATCAAATCAGAAACATTTATACATTGAAAATATTGAAAATAAGTTAAAACTAAGGAACATAGAAACATAAAATGTGACGGCAGATAAGAACCATTCAGCACCGTTTATTCTGCCCAATAATCCTACATCCTATGGATCATTGTAAGTATCTGCCCTGGTGATGGAATTTGATAGCAAAATGTAGACTGCAAGTATATTTCAGCGCTCCGGAATCCCAACTCATTAAAAACATATACATGAAATAAGGAAGGAGTTACTTTGTTTCCTTTGTTAAAGGGACACTACATGTACCCAGACCATTTCATCTCATTGTTCCTGTCCCCTTAGTCCTGCAATGCAAAACATCTACCAGACAGTCACTAGAGGTGCTTCCAGGTGTTTACGGGAGTCTGGGTCCCTTAAATGACGCTGAAAGTCTTCACACTCTGCATGAGGACATCCGGCGTCAGTGAAATCCCCCATAGGAAAGCATTGATTCAATGCTTTCCCATGGGGAGGGTCTAATACACTTTGCATGCAGGCGCATTAGGTCGCCTATCAGCGCTGGAATCGGTTGAATAAATAATAGTTTTTTAACCCTTTATTTGCCGGGGGGAGGGGGGGGGAGAGGGGGCACAAGGTAGCAGGGAGACTAGAGCACACTATAGTGTTAGGAATACAACTATGTTTCCCTAACACTAGAGATTCATTCTAATGTTTGGCAAAAGGCAAAAGTTCTGCCTTCATTTCCCATCACCTCTTTGTCACCATAACTGGTGGAAACAGGTAGCTGTCCATGGAACCTTATTGCACAATATTATCTATGAAAGATCCCTCAGAACCCCTTTTATACTCTTGCAAAACGCACGGGAGTGCAATGGTGATAGTAGCTAGAAGACGATGATATTGGCAGAAGAAGCATGGCAACAAGAATATGGTGAGAGAGAGGATCGACAAATTAAGGTTATTTCCCCTCATCTTCTCCTCTCTTGGCCATCTCTGCACTAGCAGTCATGTCAACTTGTGGGGTCTTTACTACAAACTTAGCTTTGATTGTGCCACAATAGTATGTCTATCTATCTATCTATCTATCTATCTGTCTGTCTGTCCAGGCCCGGACTGGCCATCGGGCATACCGGGCAAATGCCCGGTGGGCCGCGATGGCCGTGGGGCCGAGGCCGGCAGGGGATCTCCCCGGCCGGCCCCTGCAGGGCCAGCGCTATCCGAGCGCCGGCCCTGCATAGTGCCTCCGTGGGCCGGTGGGGAGATCAAAGATCTCCCTCACCGGCCCACAGACAGGGAGATACGGCCGCCGGGT